GCAGGACTGGCCTAGGGTAATTTTTAGAGGGGTTTTAATTATATTTTAATTGGACTACGTTTAAATATTTCTTTTTAATTAATTTTAATTTTGTAATTGTTATTTGTGTATTTTAATCGATTGTCAGCCGCCCTGAGTCCGCAAGGAGAAGGGCGGGATATAAATTGAATTTAATAATAATAATAATAATAATAATAATCCATCTATCTTAAATTTACCAAGGCTGAGAAACACTGCTGAATACACACATGGTATGCAAATGCTGCTGGGAATGAAGATATAAAAATCAACTCCAAAATATGCTATTAGACAATGCAGTGCATCTGACAGTAAAATAAGGCAAGAAAAGGGTAAAAGTGCTGTTTTACTGGTGGCAAAGAATTCTGTAAAGGACTTTACTTTACTCTTAGCATTGTTTTGTCTCTGTAGTTCTACCTGTCAGAGAATCATGTGGGGCAAAACCGAGCTAAGGTTTCCCAGGAACAACTCTCCACGTTAAATAGCAAGGCCGAGGTGAAATTTAACACCAGTAAACTGACAGAGAACTTCTTGGCTACTTTCAAGGTAAGACAGAGTTATATGCCTCATGCCATGGAAGTGAGAAATATGGGAGAAGAAGCAATTTTTGTGATGCTAGAAAGAAGTGATGAGAGCTAACAATTAGGCAGGATCTACCTGAACTGCTGGAAGAGTTTCTGTTCTTCATCCTACCTACAGTAATAGAAAGCTTGTCAATCCATCTCAAATATTTCTGTCAGCTGTAACTTTATAGTAAATTTTCCAAAAGAATTATAAGATTTTGACTGGGAGTTGCACCTGCAAAAGCATGCAGTTGCCTTGACTAACATGTCCAGAACGGACAGGTGTGTGGTGTATTCTTGTCAGACATTAAACGGAGAGTGTATATTTGGAGAATGCCCTCCCAGTCATTCTCTGTGATTGGATATTCCTTAATGTGGCTTATGTATCCAATGTATTCCAGGTTGTGGTCCTGACCAACTCATCCTTGGAGGAACAGCTGGATATCAGTGATTTCTGCCATGCCAACCAAATTTGCTTTCTCCTAGCTAACACAAAGGGCCTGGCTGGGTATGTTTGGATGAATGGTTTGTCCTTTTTCTAGGAGGGGACCAAGGAGATGGAAAATGTATATAAATAATGCTGGAACATTGTAGAGAGAAAATGTTTTGAATAGGAAGACTCTGTAGTTGAAAGTTACTGTTAGTCTGTATGCGTGCTACGTGTTTCTATGGATGGCATATATGCTGAATGCATCCTTTGAGGCATAACTTATTTTTCTTTTCCTCTTGATTCCAGACAGGTTTTCTGTGACTTTGGAGAAAACTTTGTGGTGTATGATCCTTCAGAAGCTGAGCCTACATCTGCTGCCATTAAACACATCACCTTGGTAACTTCTTTCCCTGGGATAACAATGGCTGTTTTACCAATATACAATCACATACTTTGCAAACCAAGCCAATGTTTTTTCATTACCACTCTATTTTCTGTATTACTTTTCTATTCGTAATTCCCTTCTTACGCCATCTCCTTTAAAACCTCAATATAATGTCTCTATCCAAGGTAGCCCCCATGTTTATTTTTATGAGGGGATTATCAGGAGATGGTGTCTGATTTTGGTCAAGGGGAATCATCTAAATAATAAATAATGTCATGATGAGGGGCTTGTATTTATGTGAAATCCCAGCACATTTCCACTGTGATGAAGAATTTCCATTTCAAAGCAACTATTCTCTCTCAAGCTGAAAAACGGGGGCGGGGGGGGGGAGGTAAGCCAGGCTGTCTGTTTTTTTTCCCTATAGCTGGACTATTACTAATTAACCCTTGTCAATTTTATATTGCAAGGTCAGTTTGGGGTGCATTTTATATTGGAATCCAAACACTTAGAGAGGAAATAGGTTGATCATGCTGAAAAGGAAGATAATAATTAACCTCAGATTTCTCTCCTTCACCCAGGGTAATCCTGGTCTCTTGACTGTGGTCCATGATGATGACCAGGAACATGGCTTCATGGATGGTGACTGGGTGATGTTCTCTGAGATTGAGGGGATGACACAACTGAATGGTTCTAAGTCTAAGATTTGTGTGAAAGGTAATAGGATTTTTTTTCTTTCCCTTCAGGTCCCCATGTGTCTTTCTTACTTGAATGTGGAACAGGTTCATAAAGAACTGGAGGATTAATATGGAAAACCCATCATGAAATTGAGATGGTGAAGAGTATATAAGAGAAGAATAACAGAATGGTTTAGTGTTGGTATTGATAGGAAAACTAAGGAAAGTTGTGAGGCTTCAGTGTGGAAGTATAAAATATTTGTCAGGAAACCAAAATATTTTCAAGCTCAGAGAAACCTGAATTTCAAAGGTTACATTTTTAGCAACTGGATTCACATGATTTTACCTGACTCTGAAAATCAAACTGCATAGGTTTAGGATTAGGATTAAGCATAGACTCAGGGCAGAATCTCAATCTTTTTGCTCTGTTTTTAGGAAACACCCTGGAAATTGAAGACACGTCTTCCTTTTCTCCCTACCAGCGTGGTGGGATCATCAGTCAGGTCAAGATGCCTCAAAAACATTCCTATGTAGGTTCTCATTTCTGTGCTGTACATATCTTGGGAGTTTTGAAAAACAAAGTTCTTCTTTTCAGGCTACTTTACAGAAAGGACTGATTCTTGAACAAATATGTTGCTTTAGCTAAGAATTGTGAGATGTACAGTGTTGTTTCATAAGGGAAAGAGAGATTAAAATAAGCTTTCATCCAACTTGTTACCTTCCTGAGACTTTTAGACTATTGAGCTTTTCATAAGGAATTAACACTGCACATCCTCCAGTTGAAATGAGGCTGGGAGGTAGAGCGCCTGCTTGAGAAAAATTAGTATAAGCTGAGCTTGCTTGCTTGTGATATAAAATTCTGTGTAGGAAACTGTGCTGGCCAGCAACTCAGTAGTATAATACATGCTTCATGCAGAAAACCTCAGCTTTGTTCTAGGTTGAGTTAAACTGGGAAGGATGTCTGTCTGAGCTCAACTTGAAAAAATCATTGTAGATTAATGGCACATTTATCAGTAGTGACATGTAGCAGAATGATTCACCTCTTCTGATCTTAAACACATACACACACACACACACACACACAAGAGTCCAAGCTTGGATCACTGTCTGAAAGGTTGGGGTAGTTAGTGCACTCTCTCTCTCTCATTGTATATATTTTGTGGTTTGTATTTAGGAGAAAATGGTAAATGCTTTTCAGTGGTAAATGCAAGCTCAGCCCCATGTCCTGTTCATTATTATATAACTATATTACTAAAAATGAATGTCAACAATATTATTGCATTTCTTTATGTAGTTCAAAAGTACCATAGCTCAGTGGTCCCCAACCTTTCCATCTCTGCGGACTGGCAGCGGTGGTGGCAGGGCAGGGGGAAGAGGTGATGGTTTTGTGCGTGTGCCTTCTCCTTGTGTGCTTGCCCGCCACTTGCACGGCCTGGTTCCCAACAGGCCATGGCCTGCTGCCGGGCCGCAGACTGGGTTTGGGGATCCTTGCCATAGCTGATAGGTGTTAATAGACGCCTAGAGAGCAGTTGGAGGACGTCCCGGACCGAATCCGACCGAACACAGGTAAGGAGTCATATTAGATCCTACCTTGTGGCGATGAGGGTGGCGAGGTCCAATTACTACTCCACCCTCATTGCGTCATCAGATAATCGCCCAGCCTCCCTCTTCAGGGTGACCCGCTCCCTTCTCCAATTGGGGGGGGGGACCA